GAGAGCATATATTCTTCTCAGAGGAGGCGCCGCGCTCTTCTCCCATCAGACGAACGACTCAACGAATTTGCAAACCCTCCCGGGACATCTTCGTCTTTGGGAAGAAAATGTGTCGAATGAATGTGCGAGTCTAAAGAGAGCAATGCTTCAGATCTAGATAAGGAAATTCTGTATTGTAAATTTCATTTCGAAATCAGAAGACACTTTGGTCAGATCTGCCTCCTAAAAGACAAGAACATTGGAAGAAAAGATGAGCTAGGCTCTTGAATATTCATTACTTCTTAGTTTTGGCCTTTCTTTTTTCGTTTGCCCCGTCCCATATTTCTTGCATCTAGTACATTTTTTGCTGTTGCTGCTGTAAAAAAGAACTTTTGGGGCGGAAAATCGTGGGCACTTCCTCCCGAATCCCTCCCCGATGTTCTCTCCTTCTTCTTCTTCTTCTTTCCCGAGGCTAAATTTCATTTTGGAGCTCTTCTTTTTTCATCGAGCCGAGGATTTGTCTATTCCATCATCTTTTTTTTTTATATTGCCAATCCAATCCAATTTGAATTAACTTGTACTAAAAGTGCTGTGGGACTGCGCTAACTGGATTTTAGCACATGGAAGAGTACATCAGAACTTTAGATATCCAGAAGGTCCACAGTCTGACCTATTTTAACTTCGAAAGTTTTTTTTTTAGTTTTCCGTTTTTGCTTCATCTCCAGAAGAGACTTGAAGGACCCTCCACAAAAAGGTCGGCTCAACTCAAAAACGCCTATTCATCAATTCATTTTTTCATCGTCATTCTTTCAAACAAAAGGTGACCCGCACTCCTAACAGATTTGTATCAGATAAAGCAAAACATACTCAAAAATCGTTCAAATCTGTTCCAAAAATCTGCAAGAGGAAAAAGAGACATAAAATTCGTTTTGCGGCATAGCCCCTCCTTCTATCCCCAACGTTTTTGCCCTTTTTCATCGCTCTTCCAACTTTTCTCTGTTCCACTTTGTTAGTTCTTTCACATTTTCATATTGGAAAGTAGAGAATATTGCTTTTGGGCTTTTGGGAGGTGCTCCCATTTGCATCTTTCGCTTTTTAGGATTATATCTACAGTACCACGCAGTATGTACAAAAACGTATTTTCAGTTGATTTTTGCTATTTTTTTTTTGGCTATTTTCATTTTCATTTTCAACAGACTCGAGCTTGGTTGTCAAGTATCATATCATTGTGAAATTTTGGAGGGTGTTAAACAGACCTCGGTTGAAAACCTTGAATTAACAGAAATTTTCGAAAGTTCCCAGTTTTTCAGCTATTTCCTGATTTCTGAACGAGAGCTGTTTTTTTCACGTTTTCAGTACAAAAGCGGACAATACGGGGTTCCGTTCAAATATCGGCAAATACCTGAAGAACTAGAAATTTTTAAAAATATTGTAAATGCAAAATTTTCAGTCTAGATATGTTTGGAACCCTTCAAGATTTTCAAAGTGATCTAACATGCTCCAGGCTCTTGAAAGTAGTCTAATTCCACTGAAAAACATTTTTTCAATATTCCTTATGGATCGCTGCTGTAGTTCAGGATTCTATCCGTCATTTCTTTTTTTGTCGTTTTCTATCTACCAGTTATTCTGCACCTGATGAATTTTAGACCTCGAGGTCTGAAAAATGTGTATTCGACATATTGTTTCTCGTTTTTTGAGCCTCTTTATGTCTACTTTGCCGTTCAGCGTTTTTCTATTTTTGCATAATCGCTTTTTCTCTTTTTTTTCCTTTTCACCCAAATATAAACCTCAACTTTTGTATTCCAGGGGAACTCAGCAACCATTATACCATTCTACAAAGACAGCATGCCGGAGTCTGCGGCAGACTCATCCAGCGATGAGGTAGGACTGAAGGACCATCCAGAAGTGATCTATCTGAATTTTTCTAATTTTTAATTTTCACATTTCCAGCACGATTGGCACGACGAGAAGGAAGACATGCTGATGATGGTGATGGTGGTGTTGCTCATGTTGCTCTCTGTCGTTATCTGGGTAGCATTTTGTGTGGCCGTCCGCAAAACGGCGCGCAAATTCATTGAATTGAAAAGGCAGAGACGAAGACAGGTACGCTTTAGTCGGATTAGACACTTCTTCCTAACTGGTATATACATATTCATATGTATGTTTTATCCGCTACGCTCTACTTGGAAGCAGCTTCATGGAAACGAAACTTTGAAACATGTGTTAGGTTTTTGTATATTTCTACAAAAAGTGGACCAACCAAGATTTGACCTGCCAGATGTTTATAATTTTCTAGGCACTAATAACAGCAGCAATCAACCGTGCAGCTTCCACAAATGAAGCGGACCGTCATAATGTGCTTCCGATTTATATAACCACATTGGCACATGAACTCAATGTGAGTGTTCAATGAGCTAGCAGGATGAACAAAAATAAAATATATTGTTTCAGGTATTCGGAGCAAGGGAAGAGGAGTTGCCGACATATGAAGAAGCGTTGTCAATGAGTTGCACTCCAAGTCCCAATCCAGTTGCTCCATCGAACAACAGAGATCGGTAAGTAATTCAAAAAATTCACTTCCTCTTTAACACCAATAGCTTAGCATACCTACACCTTCCCTTACTGTGATCACTAATCCATTTTCTCAATTACAGCGTGCCACCGTACAAGCCACGGTCTGGAAAAGCTAGTGGCCGAGTGCTCAGGTGGGGTAAAATTCTGTTTTTTCTAATACTTCTTTGATCTTCTAATAACGTGTGGAATTGCGTGTGGTTTGATTTCTTATTCTATGAAAAAAATATGATCAATTATAAAGATGCCTTGGAAAGAGGTTCGGAAGTTCATATGCAGTAAAAGGAAAACTTTGTATCACATCATTTCAGTTCCTTTTAGATTAAAAATAATATAAATGTTAAAGAATATTTTAGATATCTAAAATATTTAGAAACATTGAAATCCAAAAATTTCTTCAAAATTTAAATTATTTTTTAGCCCAAAAAATGTTAATTCAAAAAAACCAACTAGAGCCAAATGTTCATCATAGTTTTAACTGAAATTTATCAGTTTATCACTTTTTTAAATTTTCAAAATGAACAAAATGAGTACCGCTCAACAAGTATATGTTTTTGTACTAAAAGCGGGAAAAAACAGGTGCTTTACAGAAATTGGCAAAAATCTGGGAAACTATACATTTTCGAAATAAAATTTCCAATCTAAATCAGTATTACGCCTTTCAAAATATTCGAAGTAATCGAAAGCCTAACGTTCCAGTTCCAGACTCTTTAAATTGGTCAAAATCAACTGAAAAACGCGATTTTATAAATATCTCATTGACTGAGACTTTACGTACCTTTTGAGCACAATAATCTATGTTCCTTCAAAATACATGAAACATCTGTCAACTGATAAAGCGCTGGAGAGATAATGAAAAACATTTCATTAGTTGTCCAAGTCTTGTCATCTTCTGAAGAAAATTAGAAAATTGATATAGGTGGGCGGCTATTAGAACATTTACCATAATTTAACGGCTGTTGAACTACAGAGTTTTATGAATATTTAATTACCAATTGATTATCATGTATTGACAATTTTTCCACGATTCTTGAAATCGTAAATAAATAAATTTAAATAAATCACCAGGTTGAGTAACGCAAGTTTATACAAAGTCTCTGTTAAATTTTCGCAATGACACCATATATAGCCTATTCACTAAAAAAGTGTTCAATTCCAGAATCGCACCAGACCGTCCTGGCTCCATCCCAACGATAGTTCTCCCGCCCAGCTACGAGAGCTCGGTTCGTCACGAAGCGATGCTCTCACCAGGTGCTCGAGTACATTCGTCGCCGGTTCCCACCTCATCGAACGCCGCTGCACCGAGCACTTCCACTTCTCCGCCTATCTACACCATTTCTGGAAATATGCACATCACGGAATGCTGAAACCTTTCTTTTTAGACTATCTTCTCTCTTTCTTTCTGCGCACACTTCACATTTCATCAATCTGAATACGGTTATTCCCATTTCAAAAATTTCTTTGGTCCAGTCATATGACTCTTGGAAGTTTTCGAAACTATTTACGGTTTTTCTAAACACTGAAATCCGTTTTTTTAATACATGTCTACTTAATTCTAATCACTCCTTGTGTGTTCCCATTTTTTGTACATTTTTGCACTAATTATCTCCTTCCCAGCCATGTCTATACTTTTATATTATATTCTGATTATTACTTTCCTTCTTCTCCCAGTCAGCAAAATTGTACGGTTTGTCAGTTCTAGTTTGCATCAAAACACAAAACGCCTTACACGTCACTTTATATGATTGTAATATTGCCATTCGTTCCTAAACATGTATAGAATAAATTGATTTGTTTTATTGAAGTTTAAACACACAGGTCGTCCGAAAAGCTAGAAATTGATGTTTTACAAGATTTGATTCACTGATAACAAATTTTATTAGTACCATTCTCGTTTTTCTCACGTGCACTCCGAATTTTTGTTACCAAAAATTCATTGATACTGAACAAAGTACTTGACCTCCCTCAAAATAATGTTCTTTCCAAAAAATACCCTATGGAAACACAAAGTGACATCACTTATCAGTATACCACCCATAAATCATTCATCATCAAAACCTAAAAGGGTCGTATCATCAAAAACATTTCCTTCCCGATTTGCACGATGTCAAGAGTACTCTCTAACCGGTTGGAACGACACTTTGTTGTTTTTCGCAATCTTCAGATGACATTTTCTGTTATCAGCCACCCCCCTTGTGACTTTCAAAGATATTGAGAGATAGGAATATAACCGTTAGTCACTGTCATTTTTTGAATCTATGTCTATTGATAAAATTATATCTATTGAATTCATTGATATGCAAAATAATTTATATCAATTGATATGCAAATACAGTAACAATAGCTGTTATTGTTCATTTTTTTCCATTTTTTGAACATGAATTTCGCTTTCTTGGCTCTCCGTTTCACTTTATAAACTCAACGCTTGTTGCAGATCGCACTTTTCGAAAATGAACCCATTGGACCAAAAAAGTGAGCTGCAAGGTTCCGGGCTTTACCTAATTATTCCCTTTTATAGAGGACTTCCGAACGCTGTACCAGGAAATCAAGGATCAACAAAATGAGACCAGAATCAACTTCATGAGGCAAAACTACGATAAACTTCCGTCGTGGTCGAAGCAAGAAGTTGATAAAGAAATGGGAGGATTTCAACAAGACTCATCAGGTATTTTCTGGGTATTTTTTTCAATAGTCCGACATATCCACTCACTATACAGTTGTTTTCAGAAATTTTAGGAAAATAGTCTTGAAGATTTAGAATGGACTCCGTAAATGCTTTAATAGAACGCCACCCTAAACGTTTAATTTGAGTTTGATTAGATATGAATATTTTGGAAGATATGAACATGTTGCTTTTCATCAGTTATTGCATTTTATCAGTTATTAGAATTTTTGTATCTTTCATGAGAATTGAGTTAATCACGCTTAATGTGCTCATAGACTATAAAACTTGTGATAGAAAAGACCTCCGCACTGCCAAGTTGCAGCTGATGTTTTCGGCTCATATGCAAAATATCAAAAATGGTTCACTTGATAAAATGTTTTGATATTTTTTCCTAAAATTAGCTTTACTTTTTCAGGTCGTCTCGAATCTCTTCGTCAAACATTGAAGCAACGACTTGACGAGAACAAGCAAACGTTTATGAGAGAAAATGCCGAGAAACTTCCGTCCTGGTCGAAATGTTGATGAATGGTAAGAAAAATTTATCCCGAGACGTGAGAACTTAACTATGTTTTTTTTTCAGGAATCCCGTCGGCTAGAAACACTTTAATATCACTATTACTCGGAGCAGAGGATAAACGCGCAATGCTATTATTTTTCAAAAACTAGATTTTTAATAAATATTAAACGATCGATCTTTCTATTTTCAAATAAAAACATTTCCTCATCTTTTCTGTTTCCCTGTCTTACAAGTATGATATATGACTTATTGAAAAGCGTTTAGACGTTCTCTAAACGTATATTTTTAGCGGATTATTGTGGTTCGTTGTTTTGCTAATGTTTACAAGAACATTCTGAATGGTACCAGAGATATCAGGAAGTAAAATTTTTGAACTCGGAAGTCGGAATTAGAAAGTTGGAAGTTACATTTTGAACTAGGAAGTCGGAAGTCGGAAGTGACCAAATGCCCGGAAGTAGGAAGTAGTTAGTTGGAAGTCGGAAGTCGGAAGTAAACTTTAAAATTTTCAATTTTTTTAATAGCCTACTGTTATTTTGGAGCATAATTTATGGTATTGGCGCAAATTTTGAACATTTTCTGATTTTTCTTATCAAAAATGAACACATTTCGCAACGTTTCTTGCCAAACTTCATTGGCGGAGTTTGAGAGTTTGAAGCTGGAAGTAAAACTGATTTTCCGGAAGTAGGAAGTCGGAAGTCGGAATTCCTGACATCTCTGTTGGGAATGCAAACATACTCACGCGCTTGCAACCGATAAATAACAGGAACCTCATTTTCTTCCTTTTGCTTTTTGTCACGTTGAAAATTCTCTTATGTGATATTTATGCGTTTTTAGAAACCATCTTCATTCACTAAAAATGAACAAATTTTCGTAATGCGCTTTAGACTTGTCACACCTCATTTTTTGTGGTAGATCAAATTTGGTCTCGCGAGTTTTTTGGCGGGAAAACGCGCATAATAACAAACAAATAAGAAAAAGAGGTATTGACATCAATTTTTTAAAAGAGCGTTGCTGGTTTTGATTTTCTTATTTTTCTTGACGCTTCTTAATGGGGTTTTCAGAAATTTTATTTTCTTGTTGCGCTCGTAAGCTGTGTACTCGGAATTGCATTTTTCTTCACGCACTCTTGTTTCATATTTTTCAAATATTTTCTCTTTCAGATCATTGAAATTTTTTTCCAGATACTTATAAGGGCAGCGAACTGAATAGGGTTGGTACCCCAAACCCTGTTCAGATCCACTGAACCTTCAGGCAATCTTGGACGAAAATGAGGTCAACGGAAGGGTGAACTACTACGATTTCCATGGAATGGTTAGTGTATTTCTCATTCGTGAAGCTTTATTAAAAAAATTTTTTGAGTACTTTATCACGGTATTCAAACTAAATATTCTTATAAACAAAATTTGATTTTCAGACAACACCGGTCACCGTGCGGCCGCATGTGTGTGCGATTAGAGCTGGAGCAATGATAGCTGGAGAATGGGTATGTTTGAGATCAAAAGGAAATCATTAAAGAAAATTTTCAGATCTGGAAAACAAGTCAGTTCCCCAGTCAAAGCCATTTTCAGATCTACTGAATCTGATGGCGATTTAGGATGTAAACGACGTCAACAAGGAAAATAAAGGAATCAGATTGCAAAACATGAAGCAAGGAAAATTGATTCCAAACGGAAAAGAAGACCAGCTGACAAGATGGGCTGGATGGGCTGGTGGGTCTGAGAGCAAGAGAAAAATGAATAAAAATAATTTTCAGATCTGAAGAACGAGATAACCAAAGGAGATTCATTGCGATATTGGTTGTAAACGAAAACAACAATAATGGCGGAAGCGGAGGAAATGAAGTACGAAATGAAGAAACCCGAAAAATGAATTCGCATTGGCGATTTTGGTTGTAAACGATTAAACGATAACAACGATGATGGCGGAAGCCGAAGAAATAAAATACGAAATGAAAAAATCCAAAAAAGGGCGATTATCAATGGCGATGTTGGTTGTGAACAAAAACAATGGTGAAAGCCAAAGAAATGAAAAAAAAAATGGATACCAAACGAAAAAGAGGACCAGCCGAAAAAAAAAATAAAGAAACGAGACGCCAAATATAATTATAAATTAGAAAATAAAAGCATGTTGCCAAACCTCCCGAAGCCCCCACCATATATGTGTTCCCCCCTCCCTATAACACTTACTCCCTCCTCACTTACTCCCTCCTCCTCCGTCCGGGACTTGGGACTCATTACTGATTCCTCTCTCAAATTCTCTGCTCACATCAACAAAATCACATCTTTAACTCTTCTCCGTTCCAAACAACTCTTAAAGTCATTTAGATCTAAGTCTCCAGAATTCTACATTCATCTTTTCAAATGTTTTGTTCTCCCGATTCTTGAATATTGTTCTGTAGTTTATTCTCCTCCGCCATCTTCTCGCCTTGCTCTAAACTAGAATCTCCCTTAAGATTTTTCTCTAAGTGTATTTTCCAGCGTTGTAATATCCAGTACAGTTCCTATTCTGATCGTCTCTCTATCCTCAATATGTTCTCCATTCGACATCGTAGGCTAAAAGCTCAACTAATTCATCTCTATAAATTTTTAAATGGCTCCGCCTACTTTCCTAACCTAAATGCACATGTCAAATACTCCTCCTCCCCTCGTCGCCCTATGAACTTAATTATTGTTCAGCCCTACTCCTCTGACTATTTTTCTTCAATTTTTCCCCTGTGGAACGCCATCACTTCCCAAGTTACCCGATTTCTCCTACCTTCCGAGTTTGAATCCTTAATTTCTTCCAGTATTACCCGTTATTGATATATTTGCTCCCCTATTTTTCTTTTTCTACCGGTTACATCTTTCCTGTGTCAAATATCTAAATTATCCCGTTTCCCCTCCCCTACTCAGATCGGCCTTGTGAGGGGCATTTTTTCTGAGTCTTTCATGTTCTGCCCTCTAATGTTTGATTACACCTGATCAATAAACAAATTAAATTAAATTAAATTAAATGGAGCTCTGGATACTGTTTGAAAGTTTGTCCCCCTTCCCTCCTGTCACCTCTTGTAAGTTTGGGAACATATGGAATGAATGTCTTGTAAGCGGGTTCCTGTACGCATGTGTGTGGTGAATAAAAAAGTTTTATTCAATGTTCACTGTTTAATTTCAAAACACGTATTCAAATATACATAGATATAAGATTTCGTTGGACTTTATATGATGGTTTTCATATCTAGAGCAACACTAAAAACGCTCGTCTGATATAGTTTTAGTCTGTTCGATCTTCATAACTGTACATAACTGTCTTCCAAACTGAACTTTTGTTATGGAATTTCCGAAGACGTATATTTTCGAAAACAATTACTGTACTCTTTACCAAGAATTTACAGTTATATGCTGAGAGGGAGATAGTTTTTGACCTATCAAACAGAATGAAACACATTTTAATAAAGCTAAATTCGATGAGAGAAAACGCCAAAAAACTTCCACCCTGGTCGAAATTTCAATATATCATAAGCAGTTTCTTATATTCGTATCATGAAAACATCCATTTATCCCAGCACGTAAAAAAACCTCATTTTATGAGAATTATATCGGCTCAAACCGATGAATAACGAGAGCCTCCTCTTCTTCTTCTTTTTTGTTTTGGGAACGTTTAAGGTTCCCTTTTTGACATTTATTTCTTTTTAGAACCCATTTTCAATCTCTTAAAATAATGAAACACAGAATATATTGCGCTTTAGTCTTGTTACACGTTTTTTTTGGTAGATCAAATTTGGTCTCGTGATTTTTTTTGGGGGAAAACGTGCAGAATAATAATCAAAAAAAGAAATAAGGGCATTGACATCGATTTTCTTCATAAGAGCGATGATGATTTTGGTTTTTGCTATTTCTCTTGACTTTTCTCGAATGTTTTTTTTCCGCACTTTTGTCTCTTATTGATCGCGTCCCGTGTAAATATTTTCTCTCTCAAATCATTGAAATTGTTCTTTTCCAGATACTTATAAAGGCAGCCAACTGAATAGGGTTCGTACGCTAAACCAGATCCTCTTAAACTGGATGGAAACGAGGCCAACAGAAGGGTGAAGTACCATGGAATGGTTAGTGTATTTCTTAATCATGACTAGTGATTCAAAAAACCGCCAAGTACTTCATTACGGTTTTAAAACAAACATTTCTATAAAATAAAAAATTTGTTTTCAGACGACGCCGGTCATCGTGCGGTTGTCTGCAGTTGCAATCAGTGCTGGAGAATGGGTGAGTTTGAAAGCAAGAGAAAAAAATGAATAAGAAAAAATTTCAGATTTGAGGTGCAAGACTGCGATTTGAGTTGTAAACGAAGTCACCGATGACAAGGAAAACAAAAGAATTGAGCTACAAAACGTGAACACGAAAAATGGAAACCCACTGAACGTCCGGGCAATTTCGAAAGGAAATGAAGCCAATGGCTATAACGAAAATGAAAGAAAGGAACAACGAAATCTGAAAATCGAAAACATTGAATACAAAAGAAAAAGAGGACTAGCTGAAAAGCAAAAAAAAAGGAAAAGAAAGCTATCACGACCTCCACTGAATGGTTAGTTGCTTACTCATTCATAAAAATGATTCAAAAAATCGTCAAGCATTTCATTACAGTTTTCAAACTGACAATTCTGATAAACAAACAGTTGATTTCAGACAACGTCGGTCACTGTGAGGCCGCATGCGGATGGAGCAATAATAGCTGGAGAAGCGGTAGGTTCGAGACCACGAGAAAAATCAATAATATAAATTTTCAGATCAAAGCATGAGACAGCAAAGGTTCAAAATTATGTCACCAGCCAATTGGATCTCATGAGCAATCTAGGATGTAAACGAAGCCAACGAAGACAAGGAGAACGAGGGAATGAAGCTCCGGAACGCGGCTCGAACATGGTTCGAATTGATTCAAAATGAGGTCACCAGCCAATTGAGCATTATGGGCGACATAGGTTGTAAACGAGGCCAACGAAAACAAGGAGAACAAAGGAACGAAGCTCCGAAACGTGAAAATGGCTAGAACCGATTCCAAATGAAAACGAGGACTAGAAGAAGTGAAGAAAACACAAATAAACTGAACAAGATTAATTAAAACAATTAAAGTGTGTTAATGAAGCATACAATATGTTAATGAAGCATACAATATGTTTTAAGAGACCCCTCCCCCTAAACATCTTTTGTAAATTTCAAAACTAGCATGTGATGTTAATGCTCTGATAGAATGTCACTCTGTACATGCACTTTGAGCTCAATAATCTCGGAAAGAAAATTAGACAATTGAGCTCACAATGCAAGTGTAGGGTCCTGGCCTATAAGAGCATGTAGTCTGTGAGTGATGAAGCCCGCACCTTTTATGTTGTCCGCCCCCCCCCCCCATTTTAATGGAGCTCTTGATGCTGTTTGATAGTTTGTCCCCCTTCCCTCCTAACACCGCTTGTAAATTTGAGGACACATGAAATGAATGTTTTGTGAATTCTCGTATGTGTGTGGTGAACAAAAAAGCTTTATTTAGTTTTCTATTTTTATCTTCAAAAAAAACCTATTCAAATACACATAGATAAAAGGTTCCGTTGACTTTTATATAACGATCATCTTTATCCAGAGCAACACTTCGAGAAAAGAAAAACTCATCTGACTTAGTTTCGGCCTGACTTAGTTACCAGCAAAACTTCGTCCTAGAAAATTATCACCGATGTCTTTCACTCCCCGTTCCAACAACTCACAGAAACGGAAATTCTTGGAAATTTGCTCCGTGATAGTTGTTTTGGTTGCTAGTCTTCATTATCCGATATTCCATGATGAATAAACCAATATTCCCACGCCACGTTCTTCAATCGTTTCCAATATCACAATAGGTTTAAATTCAATACAACATGAAAATCTGTTATGTGAAGCGCACTCAGTGATCTTCAGTTTTTCATCACCTTTCAAAAGAGTTATCAAACCATAGTCACATTTTGCTGTTTCAATCTGCCCCACATCTTCGGAATACAAGAAAATCTAACTTCATCTGGGTTATTCACCAAAGTTTGATATTCATAATGGAGAGAAGCAGATCTTGTTCTCGATCAATATATATTGCAGCAGGCGTGTTTATAAACCTGTTTGATAACTAAACAAAAAAAATTACAGCCAGAGGCAATCAATTGTCACGAAGTCCTTTGATGGAGCAAACTTTCCGTAACTATGTCTCAGCTCCAGATCGCTGAGGGTAACTTTTCAAAATACAGAGAGTTTGAGACTCGATTCTCCTTCTCCGAGGAATGTATTCAATCGTCCATCGTCTCCACATTATTCTCTCTCAAGCTACAAAATGACGTCCAGTGATGAAACCTCGCCTAGACAAAGCACCTTCGAGGGTGCGCAAGGTATGCTACATTCGAATGACTCCTAACTCTTAGAATGACCACTAACTATCAGTCAATATATCTCAGTTCCTGTGAAATCTATCAAAAAATGGTCAACTGACAAAATAATTGTTATTGTCAGATAAAAACTTTGTCAGATGACTACTTTTTGATATTTTCTCCAGGAATTTTGATATATAGAGAAAATGTGATCCAAGCAATAAAAAAGTTAAAAAATTGAACACCTTTATCACAGATCGGGGTTCATCGCCACTTCTCCAAGCTTCTCAAAATGAAAAATCATCTAAGAACTCAAAGTCAACTGAAAGCACCGCTTCATCCGGTTCGGGTAATTTATTCCGAAATTTTTTATCACAAATTCATACTTCAAGTTCCAGCATTTGTCCCATTCCACGTGAACGACATGAACATTCTAAGTTTGGATAATTTGAAGAGAGCCAGTGAGTTGGTATATCATAAATTTTCAGTGAATTGCACTCGATTTTTGGTTTTTGGAAAAAAAAATCATATCATTTTTTGACTGAATTTTTCGGAACTGTCTATTTTTCTTTCAAAATTCATTAATAAAATTCTACAAACGTCTTTAAAAATAAAATGTCCGAATTCATGTTTTCAGTTCAACACCACGAGGAAATGCCGAAGATGCTCACTCAATACGCCTCAAATATGGTGTAGAGGGGTCACCTTGGGGAGTGTTGGATTCCCCGTGACGGCTCCAGAGAAACAAGCTACCTCTTTGTGCGTGATGTCTGGCAAATTAGGGGAAAGTGCATCGGTAACAGGGGAACTAATTCTGTCTGTAGCGAGGAGTGGGACGACGAGTGGGCAGATAAGCGGTGTGGAAATAATAGTAACAACAGTAGTATCAGTGACCCGTTTATTGAGCGGAATATATTTAATGAAGAGAATATATCGTCAATAAGAGGTTTCCTCGGAGTCGGGCTGGCTTGGAGACGGACGAGAAGGACATCACTGATCACTCAATAGTTGAAGGGGCAAAAAGCCTTGGGCAACAAAAACCCTTCTCCTACCGGTGACAAGCTTATCGCATCTCATAGACAAAGTTCCCAAGCTGCACACGCTTCCCAGTGGTCACGATGACACTGTTAGGAAAACACTCATGAAACAGGTCACAGAACTGACCGTTAGTCTATTCAGAAGGAAATCTATATTAACTCACACCATTAGCGGTTTCCTATAGTCCAATAAGGCCGGTAAAGCAATCGGGGATCGCGGTAGGGCTTACAGTATTGAAATAGTAGGAATAATGATGAGTAATGAGGTTGACGGACTTGCAAACTGAAGGGAAACGTCACGGAACAGTACTGACTGCTATACTATGATTAATATAAGCAAAACGCAGTAAATCTACGTAAATCTACGCAAAACACAATTAATCTGAATAGAAAGTAGGCCAGTAAACCCGTTTCGAGTGTGTGTGCGCCTTTAACCCCTTCGTGGCGAGACCTCAACGATAGGGCGCGCTTGCACGAAGGGAGAGGAAAAAGGCGGGAATTTGAATATGAGAAAGCAATAAAAGACTAATAAGCAAAGGAGAATAAAGAGAATAAAGTGGGAAATAGGAAGATTTCTGAGGAGTAAGCACAGTTGGCTGGGCCTAGAGGTCCTCAGAATATCTTAAAGTTGTTGAGTCGGTGGATAGCCACGCGGACTCGACAACATATGGGATATGTTGACAACTCCCAGTGATTATGCATAGACTTGTCGATTCAAAGATATTCGAAAGCTATCAAGACTAATCCTGCTGTGCTTATTCCTAAGAGACTATCCGTCAAAAACGTCAAAGCATTTGCTTCACTTATTATCTCAATTTAAATATTATGATTTTCGTCAATAAATAGGTCACTGATTCATCTCTGCTACCGCTTTTCTATCCACACACCTGTGTCGTTTTTTTTGCTACAGACTCTTTCGTCCCTTTTCTTAATACTTTCATTGTACTGTCAGAGTAGCTTGTTTCTTCGGAGCAATCACGGGGAATTCAACACTAATGTGAGAACATACAGTACCGGCATATAGGATTTTGACCATTTTCAGAAGATTAAAGCTCGGCTGTCAAGTTTCTGATCAGTTTTAAAGTTTTAAAGGGTGTGAAACAGACCAAGATAGTTCGCGTTCATAAATTTTTTTGAAAATTCGTAGTTTTTGGCCGATTTCTGAAAAACATCCTTTTTGACTCGTTTTTCATGTTTTGGAAAGTTTACAACCGAGCTCGAGGCTTCTGAAAACGGTCGAAATCAACTGAAAAATATGTTTTTTATGAAAATGTATTCTCTGTAAGCCTTTCTGCATAAATCTTTATCACTGTAAATCGTGGCTGGTGTTTCCATAATACGAAACATGGAAATTCCGATTCATAAATTATGCATTTTCCAACGTCCAACACATTCATGTGCTCCCTTCGAAAGATCACTTTCGAAAAGATATCCTACAGTGTCCCATGATACCCTTTTCGATTGTGATCATAAAAAGATCTTTAGGTTCCCACGAGTTATGATGCTTTAATGATAGTTTTTTCTTCCATTCACTATTGTTATGGCTTCATAACGGAGAAATCGCGTACCACGCTGCGCCGGGCCTCCCCCTTCTCTCCTCCCTCCTCTGATTATACTGTCCCTCCAGGGTCTGCCTCGTCACCACGAAAAACAGCGCGACTCCTCCTCCTCACCAGACTGTCTTCCTGACTCATCTTCCTCATTTTTTTCCTTTATTCCTTTCTGTTTCTCCTTTTTCTGCTTTCTTCCGGCCCTAGTCTGTTCCTCCTCAGCTCCACCCCTACACACTATATCTGCCCTAAACAATGTGTTCGGGACACACGCTTTCTCTCTTCGCACGTAAAATGTGAACAGGTCCGTCACGGACGCTCCGCGTTCGCGCGCGGTTGAAATAGGAACCGCATACGGACCGCACATTAAATCATTTCGATTATTCCGTATTCTGTCCGAGCTCTGTATCCGATCCGATTGCGAGCGATAAAGAAACCGATCCGTTTGCAAATCTGAATTTTGAGTTTGTTCGCAACCGTATCGGATACAAAGAAAACGGACAGATTAAGGAATAATCGGGATATTGTATTATGGTTCTCTGAAAACGTTTCGCGTGCGGTCCGTATGCGGTTCCTATTTCAACCGTGCACGAACACCGAGCGTCCGTAGCGGATTGTTCGCAAACCACATGCGCTCTGGACTTGATTTTAAGCTAGAAAATCTTTTAATACATTTCTCTTCTCTATTCTCGATATGTTCTCCGTTCGCTATTGCAGGGTAAAAGCTCAACTCACTTTTATATTCTAGCAGATGTCACATGTTTCCTTAACCTAGACGCACATTTCCGAAATTCTTGCTTCCCTGATCTCCATAGGAATGTTATCATTTCCAACCCTACTAATCAGTATTAGCCTTTTCTGTGCCACATATCTAATTCTTCCTCCTTCCTCTTCTTTGGATACTCCCTTTTTGGTTTGTTCCATTCTCAACGTGCTCTCTTTTCTGCTTGCTCTCTTCTCGACTTGCTCTTAATCCTAGAATCTCTCTACCCTCCTTTTTCTTTTTATTTATTATTATCTCATTAGTATATAATTTTCAGTTGTCTCTTCTTGGGGAATCGAAATGCCCAAAAGAAGAAATACCAAAACCAACTCTGCGCCGAGGAGTCGTCCAGCTCGTCGTGAAGATGGTGAGTCATTTTTTGTGATAGTATTAGCTCGATCATAATCCAGCACGCTCGAGATCAAGAAGCCCAAGAGTCGACGACCACGCTCAGCTTCCTCGAGAAAATGGAGAAGATCATCAAGATCAACTTCATCGAGAAGTTGGAAACGAAGACCAAGAAGGAGAGGTGATTCGAGAACTGAATCCACCTCAAAGAGAAGTGGGATACGACTGGTCGTTTGACGCTTCTCCTGGATACTCCCCCGAGCCGAGAGCTGATACTCCGGGGTACGATGAGCAGCCGGCTGCACAGCATGTGCCCCCTCAGCAACTCATCTACGGTTGGTTTTTTTTTCATGTAAAGTTTTTTCTCCTAACAGAAAGATATTGTTACAGAGCGAACTCCTAGAGCGCAAATGCCGGAACCCCAGATTCGCTACCAAAGAGCGCCGGAGCCGCCAGCCGTCCACGCGCCATTCAACTTTGATGTTCGGGACGAGGCGACGCTGCGATATTGGAGTAGGTTTTCTTCAAAAATTGACCCCGCATTGTCTCAAGGCAAATTTTTTCAGTTCGTCACCATGAAAGTCTCGCCAGAGCTCTTCGTGAATATGGAATCAATATGGGTTTCCGCATTTGAATGGAGTGAGTTTTACAAATTATGTGACAAATCCTGAATGAGGAAATTTCAGTGTCGACCATTTTCCTGGCGTGAAGTGCTCCACCAACTTGTTGCTCCCCCATCGCCCCTGTTAATTTTCGGATGTTTCATTTTATTTTACTTGTTGACCAAAATAAAATTTAAACTTCCAACCAAAAGTAGTTCAATACACTTCCTTCAGAAAGTTCATATGTCGTTTTTGGCCTCTTTTTGTTTTCAAATGACGTCTCTGTTGTTTGCAGGTGGTCCAGAAGTTGAAAACTTCTTACGTGAAAACTGCTACATATGAGATCTTGGGAATATCAACGGCAAATAATCATAACATCAAAAAAGTACTAATTCTTTACAATTATCATCCCCAAGCTTTCATATGTAGCAGTTCTCACGTAAGCAGTTCTAATGTAGCACTTCTTGAAACCTATTCACATCAGTTTAGAATAGAACACAGATGGTTTTCGAAAATTGAACAATTGTTCGTTCTTTAATAAGGTGGCAGCATACCATAATTCGTAAACCCGTCTTTATAGTCAACCAGTAGCTCATAAACGATTTTACAAATTGTGGAATATATCGAGCAGAGAGTTCACGATATCATGGTTTAATGTTATACTAAAGAAGAATATACCGTAAGGCTTGTAATAGAAAGGCCCCACACTGTCAAGTTTTCAGTCAACTTTTCGCGATTATCATGAAAAATACAAAAAAGGTGCCAGCTGAGGAAATGTTTGTCATTTTATGTTCAACAATTTATTAGTTGAGAACTTTTTATATCTTTTGCAATAAACGAGATAAATGGGCTCAAGTTTGCGAAGATAGGGGCACTTCTTTTGAGTTTTTGAAGTACAGATAGACAATTTTCGGAGTTTTTTTTTTGAAATTACAGTATGCGTTCCAACATGGCAGTGTACGTTGTTTAGTGTCCCCAAATTTCTTTGCTATCGTGCCGCTCTCATACACGACATCTGTCGGCCGCGAAACTTTCACCAACGTGGCTCAGCTCGTAGAAACGCTCCACCTTCAGCGTTGGGCCCACGCATTCACCCCTTCGAGGGCCTTTGAGAACCAAATGTTGAGAAAATTATTTTTCTCGTGTTCCTTCCTTCAAAATCATATTATGCTTATGTGTCATTTGCGCTCCATTAAGAAATATGAATCCACTGATGAGTCAGATTCCTTTGTTTCTCGCACTCTTTCTCTCAATTTTGCAAGCGAGAAGTGCAACGTCCTCGTGGGATATTCAAAATGAAAGGCATAAACAAATTTTGCTTCACTTTTTTCTCTTTTTCTCTCAAGTTTTTGTTTTATGCGCATGCGCGCGAGAAACTTATAACTCAATAAGCAATTTCAGTTTTTTTTTTGCTTTATTCCTATTTCCCACTTTCCAAAAAAAAACGAATGTGTAGTAATTATTAAGAGTGATATTTTCGTGGTCTGGAATCCGATATCGCAGCGGAAGGGCATTTCTTTCGCCTTTATAATTCTACTTCATCCACAAAATGCTTATTAAGCGTATTACGAAATCTCATGCCCCCTTATTATCGGATACTAACGTAAGGTCTCAAATGTTGTGAGGGAAAGTGCACTTTCTGGCTCGTGATCTCCCCAATGGCTCAGCATCTATCCGAAATTATTACTTTCCTAGATTGACTCGAATATTATTTAGCTGAATTTTGTCTTGCGCTCTCACCTTTCTTTCTGTTTTCTCGGATTTCTCTCCAACTCTCAAAGTCTGTCGTACTTCTCCGCATTTTTCTCATAATTCCTCTGTTCTATACCTTTTCAATGATATGTTTTCGTAAGAATCTTTATATGTATCTCAATTTCACGCTTATTTTTCTTCTTTTTTCTTTTTTCAGAACTTGGCGTCGCTGCCTACGGGATAATGAGTTCGCGGAGATCTTCTTCGCAAAGATCCTCTTCGCGGGCGTCGACTAGGGGATCTTCTAGAAGATCGCATGGTAAGAATCTTTTGCAACCTAGTGAACTGAGTTTCAATGTTTCAGAAAACCGGCGCTCAAGATCGAGAAGTTCCAGTGACAGAAGCTATTCTCCGTCGCAGCATCGTCGCAAGAATCGTCGCAACAGTTCTACGTCTTCAAACTCTCGTATTCGCAGCGGTAGTGATTCTGGTGATAGGTTGTCTTTTGGTCATACACCTCGATCATCTGATGGATCACACTTAGTGAGTACTTACTTTTAGAGTAGCAGACAAAAAAAAAGGTTTGTCCTAAATAACAGTCGTATACTTTAGGAACCCGTCAGCCCTTCAATGTATGCTGGCGATATCGATTTCAACAAAGGCTTCGAATATGCAGGTGATGTATCACACTTAGTGAGTATTGGTTTTTATAGTAACTGAAAATAAAGAAAAGTTTGTCCTAAACAACAGTCGTTTACTTCAGGAACCCGTCAGCCCTGCAAATTATTGGAATGGCAATAGACATGACAACGTAAACAACAACAATTCGAGAAGCCCGGGTCCATACAACCCTATAGGCCCAATCTCCTCCTCTTCTTCTTCCTCTTCTTCTTCGTCATCCAACGCGTCTTCGCTCGCACACTCGATTCCCCTAGGCGACATCATGCCAGTTGCCGGTGAGAATAATTATCTAGAAAGTCGTCGTCCAGGATTCATGGGAATGGAACGCATTCCAACGGCAGAAGATGTCCGTCAGCTTAGTGAGTTCTTTATTTTGTACGCCTTACCAAGTTAATAAATACTTAATTCCAGTTCGCCATCATACGGCGTCCATTGCAATGCTAAAAGAATATGCAAATCATATGGGATACAAAGTCGAATGGTACGTTGAATGGAGACTCCATTCAGAGATGGAATACTTAAGTAATCGTGGGCAACCGAGACACTTTTTTAAAGGAAGAACTCGACCAAAAATTTGTATTGCGCCAAAATGTTTCAGTGTGTGAAACCTAAGCTACGGCGCCTGGCAGCTTTTCATCGAAATGGAGAATTGTGGCGTTCTAAGTTTTTCAAGTAGGGGAGAGAGAAACGGAAATAATCTGTATAAAACGACGTTTGAGAAAGGTGGTTTGCTGCCGTAAAGGCTTAGGTTTTTCATTGAGCAGGAAGCCTAATAATTGTGCCACATTTTCATATTTTCTTGGGCATTTTAACCAATTTCAAATTTTTTGTGTTTTTTTCCGAATGATATTAATAAAATAAATATTAGAAAAATTTTGTTACAGTGAAAATTTTTGAAAAAAAAAGAAAATATTTATAATTTACAGAGCCAAATCAGTTTTGGCGCCATCTTTCACTCTTTCACTTTTCCCGCCGACGTCCCAGATGTTTGCAAAACAATAATCTTTAATTTTTTGATTATTCATTTCATTTTTTAACCTAAAAACTACAGCTGGTGCAACCGGCTGCGGGCCACTCAAATGTCAAATATCATAATAGGTAATCTGATGGTTTACGAGATCATTCTTTCAATTTCCATCATTATCTCTTTTCCCATTCCATATTTTCTCACATGATTAGTGATATTCTTATAACCTGTGCAATTCTAACAGAAAATTCACTGTTTCGAGCATAACAGGGAAGCCATGACCCAGAATTTCATTGTGTATTCTCACTTTGTATTATGCGTAACTTCACATTATTCGTAATAAAAACTGATATATTCTGAAAGATAAAAAAAACAAAAAAAAATAAATAGTGGAAATGAAAGATGGTACATGAAAAAGTTTGCATGTGATAGAAATCAGATTTGCAATTATTGATAAAAAGACGGATTTGTGGACAATAAGAGGCAAAAAGAAAATTGAACGAAGAAAGTAGCCTGAAATTAATCTGAAAAAAGGGTAGATGTGAAAGCAGTGAGATCAAAGGAATTGAATTTAGCGTAAAAAGGTGATTGCACGAAAGTGCTTTCAAAGCTGCTGATAAGATCCTCTTTGCTTCGCCGACTCCAGCTGAGCTTTCAAATTATTAAGGAATGCAACTGCAAAAATATGAATAAACCGATTAATTGAATTCTGCGTTCTTACTTGTCTCATCCAGCTCTTTGCCTGGGGCCTTTAGCTTAACTTGAATCGGGCCGAAATCAAGGCCAACACTTTCAGGAGCATCCTCACGCTTTTTCATTTGTGTTGACAAATGGTTCATGATCGATGACATCATTCTTGGCGGCGGTGCAATGGATAGTGTCGCTTTATCTGAATTCGATTTATGCGTTTTTCATTCTGATTTAACAGAAAACTCGCGTGTCATATTGTCTGAAGAGATCGGATTCGGCAGAGAAGATGTAGATGCCTACAAAATATAATATTTCATACCAATTCAGAAAAACTGCATAATTTTGTATGTTATCAGCGCTAGGGATGTTATGAACAGAATTCGAAATTCCGATTACTCCGAATGGATAATTCGGTCGGTGTATTGCCGAAGAATTTTTTTATGAATGAAGTTTTGATTAAAATATTTTTGAAGCTTTTTTGTGATCCAATTACGAACGGAATTTTTTCGAAGCTTTTAAAATTTCGGAATTAATTATATTTTTTTTCGTTTCTGAAATCGATTTGCCAATTTTTCCTGCTTTTTTGATAGATTCCGAAACCGTGCAAGATTCCCAAAGCTCCCAAAAACCGAAATCTTCAAAACAGGAATAAACCAATATTTCGAAGTCAAAAATTTTGAAAATCGGATCATTCCGAATTTCCGAAATTTTCAAAATTTGAATATTCTGAGACTTCGAAAATCCAAAATTTCAAAGGTCGGAATTTTCGACATTTCGAAAAATTCCAAAGAAGCTACTCCGAACATTACCGAATCATTTCACTATTTAAATAAAGGATGTACCTGAGAGCTGCTGGAAGGGAGATTGTATCCGAGATTTGCTGGTCCGGAGAAATAGGACTGAGGAACTTCCAAGTTGGGATACTGAAATAATCATATTTCTCATATTTAGGGCAAACGAGATTTTAAATTTTTAAAAAATAAAACGTACACATGCACTGTTTGAAGGCTGATTGTCTCTTCTTGGTGCTGATAAGTGGGAGTAATCGGGTACAGAGAAGAAACCCTGAAATAATCGTATCTCTCATATTCTAAGCACACAATAATTGTTTCACAACTCACTTGTGGGAAGTCATTATAGATTCCAATTTGATTGTTCATCAATAAATTGCCTCCTGCACTAGTATTTTCAACAATTTTCAACAACAAAGAGTTTCTTTCAACAGGTTCCTCCATTCTACTCGATGAGCTACACATTTGTCGCAAATCGGGATGATGGAGCCGGGGCCTGAATTATATTGATTTAATCATTATTTTCTGATTTGAGGTGTCTCACTTTTGGCTTGGGGGCTGCTCTTTGACTATGTGATGCTGAGCGGCTTTCATCTGTGGCCTGTCGAGTGGTGTTGAGTGCCGAGGGTGAAGAGGTCTGTTGATTTCTAACAGCGACTTGGCCGGAAAATGATGGAATCTGATTTGATGACGACGACCCGTTGTTCCCCGATAGGAACTCTTCCTCGAGCACAATTATCGATCTAGTTGAATCATTGTGGGGCTGAAATGAGTTAAATGAAAAGAGGCTGAGTCATTTTTTTGGGAGCTTCATATTCTAGGCAAATGAAGCTCTAATTTCGAAGAACCACTTACCTGTGAACCATTTCCAGTAGAACTAATTAATGACGCGGTACTTGGAACGTTTCCAGATGCATTTCCAGCCATTGCTTTCTGTTTAATTTTTGCCAAGTGTGCTGCGATAATCTTCAAATCTAACGGTTTCTGTCCAGAGTCGACTTCTTTTCTTCTTGCTTGGACTTTAGCTTTGAGGGTCGAATATTGTCGTTCCTGAAACATGTGAGTTTGATAACTACTTTCTTGGTTCATGTGTCTTACTCTTCTTTCGGGGACTACAATTTGAGGATGATGTGCTTGGTGGATCACATCACGCATCATGGCTGTTGATAGTGTTGAGTTGATGCTTGAAAATCCATTAGCAAGGGGGGTTTGCAAGACCGTCCCAATTATCTGGAATGTGTCGTATAAACAACGTGATATGCTAACTTATGCGTTTTTTAAGCTTTCAAAATACTGAGATAAAATATACAGTACCTGTATCTCGTCACTTGTTTCCGACGTTCTTTCGTGTAGCTCTGCTGCTCTCTTTTTGAACCAAGCATTGATCTACAAGAATGAATACTTAGGATCAATTATTAATTTTTGAAAAAACTCACGTAAATATCGGATTCGGGAACGTCCCGAGTGACACGATCGAATTGTTCAAAATTCGTCGAAAATTTCGAGAATGCGGCTTCAAGGGGGTTTTCGATAAGATGCACACGGCTCTTTTCGATGTTCTTGGCGTAGAAGAGACAATCTAGTTTTTCCTCGAGTGTAATCTTATCCAGAGGCTTTCTTTGCCTCAAAAACTCCTGCTTTTCCTTTTCTGAAATAGTGATGCCGTTTTCTGTATTCCATGTCTTGTATCTCATTTTGGCTGAGTGATCAACGGCACAACGTCTTTTTTGCTCGTTTGTGAGAGCTTTCCAGAACGTGAATTTCTGAAAATTAACAAATTAAAACTGAAAAGAGTTTAGAAAGTTTATAAAAAAATAACTTGTAAGCCGTTTTTTCTTTCAGATACAATAATTCAAGCTTGGAGTTCTGAAAAATTTACATGTGGCATTTTTGCAAATTTGGGGTTTTTGAGGCCGCAGAAATTGATTGAATTTGAATAAGAGTTTAAAATACACACCTCTCCGATTTTATCGTATCTTTCTTTTTGTTCTTCAGTGTCCCCGTATCTGAATTCGGCCAGTTCTTTGAGAAAGTGCTCATTGCGTTTCTGGCGTGAAGCTGAATGAGTAAGATCCTGATTTCTCTGAAATTAAATTAGATTTATAATCAAATAATTTGAACAAACAACCTTCTTGTTGTTGTCGTGAGCTTTAGATGGTTGCATGGTGTCAATTTCTGTCGTGACAGTAAACTCGGAGTTGAAGACTCTGGAAAAAAAACGAGTTTAAAATAGTTTAAAAGCGAAAAGTAAGAAAAAAAATACGGAAATCATTACTGAAAACGCCAATTTTCATGTAAAATTTGAGAAAAGAGATTCTGAGAAAGCACCAATAAAATTTTTCGTTAAAAATATTATTCTAGAGGCGCAAGAGCAAAGTACCGTATTATTTGATAAAATTTTGAATATTCTTTTCTCAATTTTTCGACAATTTTTATTTTTTTTTCAGTTATTTTCCTCATTTTAATTCATTTTTGAAAGATTTACACTGAAAAAATGGAAAAAAATCGTCGAAAAATTAAAAATACTCGAAAATAATATTAAAGATAGGTTCAAAAAATTGGTAGTTCGCTCTCATGTGTGCATCAATTACAAACTACAAAACTATGCTTGTTGGTAATAGGCTACTAGACGAAAAAAGAAAAGACTGCTTTAGAAAAAAAAATCAGTATAAATTGGGCTCTTGCAATCCTAATATAACTGGTAAAGAAAGCAAATGAGAACTATGGCCTAGAATAATGAGGGAGGGTGGAGGAAAGGGCACAGGAGAAGACGCACCGGTATTTCTCTCCGTCTCTTCCTTCGCTTCTCTCTCTCTCTCTCTCTCTCTCTCTTTCTCGTTGCGTCATCGAAGAGACGAACCATTTACTGTGAGACTCTTTTTGAACGACGGTGGAGGAGATGGTGCAGACGACACTATGTTGTGGGTATGAGTTCCAGCCGATCAATAATGATCTGCATAAAGTAGTGTCTCCTTTCTCCTTTGTACGTCATTCCGTTTTCCCACGAATGTTTGTATGTAACAGGTCTAAATCACAATTCAAAACTGTTTATTTAAGTGCCAGAGCTCAAAACTGAATTGTAAATTAAGGTGAAAAGTGAGGAGCAGAGAGGTGCAGCAAACGGAATCCTACGTCACTACAAAGTTTTCTACTATTTTTTGAAACCCTTTTGAAATTTCAAAAATTTTGATCCATCTTATAAATAAGATCATAAGCAGTACGGAAAGGAACCATTTAGTAAACCACAGTGAAAGGAATCGAATGATAACTAAGAAATTGAAAAGTGCGCTTTCTTTTATATATAGTTTGTGTGCTAATCGAATCTTAATTTTATTATCTTTTTTTCCAGAAAAATGGAAGAAAAAATATCATCGAGCTTTTCTGAGTGGGAATCTAAAAAATCTAATGATTGTTTGTGTTCAGAGATTTGATAGCCCTTAATTTTTACTCTTCCCAGTCCACGTTTTCTTGCATCAGTATTTTGTGATATTCTTAAAATCTGTAAATTTCTACTTTAAAATTGAACATTCTGAACAGAAAACAATAACAAAGACTGATAATTCATTATTCATTCCTTAAAATTTTGTTGTGTGTGTTTTTACGTCATGTTTTCTAATTTCGCACTACTCCGAATAAAAACTCGTTTATTGGGAAAATTTTTTTAAATGTTTGAAGAATATAACGTTAAAATTAAAAGGTGGTAAATGAAAAAGTTTGAGTGTTACAGAATTCAGATTAGAAGTCATCGGAATGAGCAGGGATTTCTTTTGACAATGAAATGTAAAGAGGATATTGAGTTAATTGAATTGCCTAATGATAAACCAGAAAAAGTGTCAATTTGAGAACAGAGAGATCATGTAAATTGAATTCAGAGAGAAAGGATTTTAAGGAGAACATGCTCATTAAATTAGAGCTACTGATACGATACGCCTTGTTTTGCCGACTCCAACTGTGCGGTGAGATTGTTGACGAAGGAGACTGAAAATAAGAAAAATGAACCGATGAATTGAATTCAGTATTCTTACTTGTGTCGTCCAACTCTTTGCCAGTGGCCTTCAAATTGACTTCAATTTTAGAGAAGTCCAGGCAGCCACTCTCCTCACGCTTCTTCATTTGTGTTGACAAATGGTTCATGATTGATGATATCATTCTTGGCGGTGGTGCGATGGAGAGCGTTGAATGATCTGAATTTTTTCGATTTATGAGTTTCCATTCAGACTTTTCAAATGAAACTCACGTGTCGAAATCGCATTCGGAGGAGGCGAAGACATCTAAAAAATAATTTGTGTTACCGGCCTGTTTTAAAAATGAGCCTTACCTGTGAGATGTTTGAAGTGTGATTCTCTCCATAAGTTGCTTGTGGCAAGTAGAAATCGGGAACTCCAATGGGATACTAAAATAATCACATCTTTCATATTTTTAGCAAACTAGATTCTCGTTTGAAGGTGGGGATTAACTCTGGTGAAATCTTTCATACAAGACAATAGCGGTATACCGAAGGCGCCGCGCGTGTGTGGATGACAGCTTTCAGTATCATCCTCTCTGTCCAATTAACGTTATGTGAGTCGCTACTCAGCGAATTTCAACCGCGACGCAACTCAAAAGTGCGCGAAATCTCGATCCAAATCCATGTATACGGTTTCACCCCCCCTCCCCTCCCGTGTTTCGTAATGATTTTAGGAAAATACATAACCTTGGAAACATTTTAGTGGAATAAGATTTTTGTCGGAGCCCCCTTTTGAGAAGATAAGTCTTACCTGTGCATTGGTTGACGGTTGGTATTTTCCAAAACCGGTTGGTGGCAACATGTTGGAATAATCCGGCAAAGAGCGAAGAGCCTGAAAAAATCGTATTTCTCATTTCTCGAAAAATTATTTTTCTACTTACTCTCTGGAAGTCAAAATCGACTCCAATTGGATAACTCGGGGTGTTCAACGCAAAGTTGTTTCCTACTCCAAAACCTTCAACAACTGTAGCATTTTCTCCAAAAGACTCCTCGACTCTGCTTGGGGAGTTTCTTTGAGCAGTTGTACCAGTACTGGATTCTGATCTTCTTGAATCCATCCCGTTTCTCGTATCAATTCCTTCACCTTCTAGAGGAACATATTCTAGAATCTCATCTGTGTAGACGGAATTCGAAGATGAGGGAGGGCAGCTGACTGTTGAAGCTGATGCATTCCACGAAGAATCTTGATTCCAGATTTGTCCTGCACCCAGATAAACGGTTTCCGCAATTGTTGGCAACGTCTTCTTCGCTAGGATTTCAGCTAGAAGACCTCTTGAGCCTGTGGAAGCTGTCTGGGGCTGAAATGTCTGAAATATGTTATATTACCAAAAAAACAAAGTTAGTTGTTAGAAGTTCTAGGCAAAGGAGTCTCTCTTATTCAACACTTACGTGGGAAATATTTTCGGCTTGTTGGATTCTGGAATTCGCTGTTGAAACGGTTCTTGAAACATCTCCAAAAACATTGCCGGTTTCAATTCCAACTTCATTCGCAGATTGAGCGAGTCTCTTTCTTCTCCTTGCCATGCCTTGTCGTTTTTGTCTCGACCAATTCCTCTCCGGATCTTTTTTATCTTCACCTCTGGCGATTATATCAATACTTTCATCGATACTGTTGAAAGATGACTCATATGCGTGTGCAGGATTCGAAGACGTTGCGGGAACCTGAATTATATTTGTTTGTTAATAATTTTCTGAAACTGCATGGATGGGATCCTGAAATAATCTCCTCATTTTCTCATATAGCTTTCTTATATTCTAGGCAAACGACTACTTTTTTCACCACTTACCTGTGGGCCGTCATACTCGATTTCGAATGAGGTGTGCATCACAAAATCGTCTCCTACTCCAGCATCTTCCACGACATTTCTTCTAGCAGGTTTTTCGATTCTTCTCGGAAAGCTTTGTTGAGCATTTGTTCCAAGTCTAGACTCGGATCTCCTAACACCCACTCCGGAGTTTTCCGAGCGAACAGAATCTTGAATTTCAGGTGTGCGAGCTGAATCGAAAGTTGTGGCTGGGACCTAAATTATATTGGTTTGATAATCAATTTTTTTCAGTTTACATTAGTTGTCTCACTTTTGGTTTGGGGGCTGCTCTGTGACTCTGTAATTTTGATCGTTTTCTATTGGTGGCGGGATGAGTGATGTTGAGAAGCAATATTTCTGGGCTGGATTGTCCATCATCAGAGACAGACGTTTTTTTGGTCTCTTGGTTCTCGACGGAGACTTGGATGGCATCTATTGGGTTTTGAATCGACGAGGACGACATATTGTGCAATATTTCTGAGCAGGATGGTACATCATCGAGCAATATTTCTGAGCAGGATAATTCATCATTGGAAACAGACACTTGTTGAGTCTCCTGATTCCCCATGGAGACTTGGTCGACGTCTACTAGATTCTGAATCAATAAGGACGAAGTATTGTTCCCCGACAGGAGCTCCTCGAGCATAGTTCTCGACCTAGGCAAATCTCTTCGAACCTGGAATGTGTTAACTGAGAAGAGTTAATTGTTGGAAGCAACATACAGTACCGGTCAATAAAATATATACAAAAATGTTCTTACTATTTTCAGGAGTCATGAGTTCGGCTGTCAAGTTTTCGATTAGTTTGAAAATTTTGGAGGGTGTAAAGCAGTCTTAGTTTGCAAAATTGAAATATTTGAAAATTCCCAGTTTTTAGCTAGCCGATTCTCAAAAAACACCCCCCTTTCAGCCCGTTTTTGTGCTGAAAACATGAGAAACAAGTCTCTCTCAGAAGTCGTCAGTAGCTGAATCACTTTTCTGAATTCTGTGAATGCAATGTTTTCAATTTAGGTTTGTTTTACACACTGCAAAGTTTTTGGAAAGTGATCGAAAACTTGTCAGTCCAGCTTTAGACTGAAAACGGTCAAATTAGCTGAAAATCAATTGAAAATATGTTTCAGTCATTTTTATTGATCGGTACTGGACCAACACAGTAAGAAATTAAAAAAAAAGAGCCGTACCTGTGCGCTGGTTGACGGTTGGTTGTGTCCAAGGGTTGTTGGATCAGTGGAGAAGGAATCGGGAACTTCAGAGCTTGGATACTAAAATAATTGTATTTCTAATATATTAGAAATTTGTTTAAAAAGGTGAGTCCTATCTATTCTAGGCAAACCACTTACTTGTAGAACATCTCCTGTAGAACTCGTCGAGGAATTGGTGCTTAGAACGTTTCCAGAAACATGTCCAGCCATTCTTTTTTGTTGCAATGCCTCAAAATGTTTTTCAAAAGCTTCCATATCTATCGGATTAATCCCATTCAATATCTGATGTCTTCTCTTTTGAACTTCATTTACGAGACTCGCCGCTGGATGTCCCTGAGATATGCGAGTGTTACAAATATGTTCTGGGGTTGAGTGTCTTACTTTTCCTTTGGGGACCACACATGGCGATTGTTGTGGTGAATGAATCTCGCCGCACAGGTCCATTGCAGAGAGTGGTGGAATGTTTCTCGGAGATTCGTTAGGAGAGATATGCGAGTATATTATCTGAAAATTGTTGATAACTATGCTCTGGGATTGGGTGGCTTACTCTTGTCTTGGCAGCAAGACTTTGAGCTTTTTGTGTTGACTGGATTTTATGGATTTTTTCACATATATCGACTCTCCAAAATGTATCGTTGTCGCTTGAATATCCGTGAGGAGTTCGCCAGTATGTTATCTGAAATGTGTCAAATACCCAAGGTGGTATTCTCCATTATACAGTTTGGCATTTTCAGTAGTCTGAAGCTCGGCTGTCAAGTTTCCAATTACTTCAAAATTATAGGAGAGCGTAAAGAAGAACTAGATTGAAAACTTTTCAACAATTTCTTGAAAATCCCTAGTTTTCAGTTATTTGCCAACTTCTGTAAGACAACCTTTTTTGAAACATTTTTCATTGAAAACGTGAAAAAAGAAGACGTTCTTTAGAACCCAGAAAAAAGTCAAAAACTTAGAATTTTTTAAAAATTGCTTACACTTTTTTCAATAAACTTTTAGAAGACTAGAAAATGAAATGTACAGTACCTTTACTTCGTCTGAACCACTTGTTCCCTCTTGCGATGTTTTTTGATTTCCAAATGTGTTTAGTAGTTCAGCGTGTTTTCTTTCGAACCATCCTCTGATCTACAAGTAATACTTTCAAAAAAAAAACTATTTTGAAAAATAAACACTCACGAAAAGATCAGATTCGGGTACGCTTTGTGTGGCATTGTGGAATTTATCGAAGGACAATGGGAACATCGCGAATGCATCTGACAGGGGCTTTTCGATAGTTTCCCCGCGGGTTGTGTCGGCCTCAGACGAGTTTAAGAGACGGTCTAGTAGAATTCGGCAAGTCCTCTCATCCACTGGCCATCATTGATTCAAAAACTCCATTTTTTCCTCACCGGAGATAGTGATTCCATTGGCAACATCCCATTTCTTGTTTCTGATTGTTTTCCCAGGATCAACGACACAACTCCTTTTTTGCGCACCTGACAAGGATTTCCAAAACTCGAACTTCTGTAAATGAATAAACAATAAATACTGAATAGGGTAATGAGAATTTGTTTTTAAAAAAATTAATTTGGAGCTTTAGATTTTGTTTCAGTAAAAATTTTAAATACACACCTCTCCAATTTGATCATATTTTTGTTTTTCGTCAGCAGTATCTCCGTATCTCAAATTGGCCAGTTCTTCGAAAAAGAGATCATTGAGTTCATGGCGATCGTATTTATCTTGGAGCAATGATGATAGCATAATTTGCACGTTCTGTTGTGACCATAGATTGTGAGTTGAACTGGAAAAAGTAAACATGAAGTAGTTTGAAAGCGAAAAATAAGAAACAAACGCGAAAATTGTCACATAAATGCTAAAAAGCTGCTGAGAACCTACTAAAAAATATGTAGAATCGAAAAAAAATGAATATGGAAGTCATACAATAAAAACAAGAACCAACAAAACCACCACAAGAGCAAACTACCGTATCTTTTAGCCAATTTTGAATAATATTTTTCTATTAGTACCGTTTTCTGACGATTTTTATTGTTTTCCTGGGGTTTCCCCGTTTTAATTCAATTTTTTGAAAGATTTGCTTTGAAAAAATGGCGAAAATTGTTGAAAAATTGAAAATACTAGAAAATAATATCAAATTTAGGTTCAAAAAATGGGTAGTTCGGTCTTACGCCTTAAAAAAAACTTTAAATAGTTAACCGCACTAATTACGAACAACAATACTCTTGCAAAACTGAATGAAATGATGAAAAAAAAGAGAATGATGAGGAAGGGCAGAGGGAAGGGTACAGGAGAAGACGCACCGATATTCCTCTCCGTCTCTTCCTTTCCCTCACTCTCTCGCAGAGTCAGCGCAAAGACGAATAATGTACTGTGAGACTCAATATGCACGGCGGTGGTGAAGAAGGGGTCCACACAACAATATGTATTGGGTAAGAGTACCAACCAATCAATAATGATCTGCATATAGTAGTGCCTCCTTTCTTCTTCGTATGTCATTCCGTTTTCCCACACATGTTTGGGTCTAACTTGTCCGAATCACAATTCAAAACTATTTATTCAATTTTTTGACGATTTTCTAGACGATTTTCAAAGTTTTTCAGTGTAGATCGGTGAAAAATGGATTTCTACATCTTTCAAATCTTCATTTTTGACGTGATGGGTTCGATGAAAAATTTATATAAGTTATTACAAAATACTAATCAGAAGTTAATCAAGAAAAAGGGCGAGATCAAGCAAAAAAACAGTTTTAAGTGAATAATTAGAAATGGTCCAATGACTTGTTAAGAGAAAAAAAAATGGATGGGTTAGTGTTGTTGGCGAGAGCGGGAAGTTGAGCGTGCTCTCTGCAAAAAACACTTATAATCAACAATTCATGATTTTATATCGTACCAAACTATGGCTTTGAGCAAGAATTCGGTTTGCATGCTTATCAACTGTAGCCATTCTCTGATACATCCGGTTTTGGTAGGACTGGGATTTGCGGATGTTTCTGAAATTGAAGTATTTTGCACTTTTAAGGTTTCCAAAGAAATAAATCTCACTTCATGGTGATATCTCTCATATCCTTCTCATAGAACGCCTTCACTGCCGTTGAATCGGCGAACAAATCTCGTCTGACACTGTCCACACTTCTCTGTCCACTGGCGACGAGTCTGGCGGCAATCTGAACCCAGATTTTGATTGAAATATCGCACCATATCCTTTCACTTACTCGTTTCTTCTGTTCAATTTCCGCTCGTTTCTCGGAAGCGGCTCTTATGATGCTTTGTCGTGCCTCGACGCGTTCAATGAATTCTGGTCGATTGCGTTCCAAATGAACTCGCGGTGGACATGCTTGCGACCACTGATCGTCCTTCACTGGTGAGATTGGTAGATGCTCAATAGCGTTTTCGCTGCGAGTGCGGAGCCATTCTGGAAAATTCTAAGTTTATTGACTGTTGGCTTCTTTGCAGATACATTACTGGTTAATAATATACTTAAAACGTATTTTTTAGTTCATCAGGACCATTTTCAGAAGTCTAGAGCTCGGCTGTCAAGCTTTAGATCGCTTTGAAAATGTTTGGAGAGTGTAAAACAGTTCTAGATTGGAAACTTTGCATTTGCAACACTTTTTGAAAATTCCTAGTTTTTTAGCTAGTTGCCGATGTCTGTAAAATACCTGCTTTTTCACGTTTTGGTACAAAGAAATGAGTCTTTCAAAAATAGACACATAGCTAAAAAACTAAAAATTCGCGGAATTCTGTAAATGTAAATTTTTTGATCTGGGTATATTTTACGACCTCTAAAACTTTCAAAGAAGTCCGAAACTTGACGTGCGAGCTCCAGACCCCTGAAAATAGTAAAAATCTACTGAAAACACGTTTTTGTAAATTTTATTGTCTGGTACTGTATGTATAACAACTAACCATTCAAATTTCGACGAGCTGAGCGTTGTTGTGGTCTTGCCATCGGTCTCGCTGGAGGCGGTGGTGGTTGTTGGGCTCGATTGGTTGTCGGAGCATCTTCATCCGCAAATAGTCGTCTTCTCGAATGAGTCCGCCTTTCGGACCCTCCCATACGCAACGATGGTGGCGTTTCGAAATGCGCTTGACGAGCGCCAAGCGGCAGAGATTGTGGGGAACGAAGAGGTGGCGGAATACGGGCATTTCGCATTGTTGGTGTTGGCTGTAACGGATTGATTTAAAATATATGCCTAATCAAGATACCGTAATTCGTTTAAAAAAAACATTTTTGCTAATAAAAGCCTACCCAAACCGTCCACTTTGAGCTCGACAATCTTGGTTACTGTGGAAGATATCAAAATTTTATCCACTAATAAACAATTGGCGATGCTATGATGAATAATTCATTAACTGGCCACATTTCGATATCTTGAACAGAAAGCAAGATCATTGAGCTCAAAATAGACGATTTAGGTTGGCTCCCATTAAAGGAAATACGAGAAAATATAAAGTTACTGTTGGTGACGTAATGTTGTTTTGAAAAATTCAAATGAAAAATAAATGTCGGTTAGGTCTAAGGTATCTATTGCGTAATAGAAATTAAACCACTTTTTTGGCAATTCGAGAGGTATGGCAGATGGACTAATTGCCCAATTTTCACCAACTCTGTTACACCATTCTTAGAGATTGCAATCGAAAGAAAGGCATCCATTCTGATGTAATCTCGAGCGGATTATCGTCACCTTTGATCTTTTTTTTTGGGTGGCAGCCAGATTTTTAGAATAATTCAAAATTTTTTTCGATTTACTCACCATGACTTGCGCACTTGGCGACTCGTTACTGGAACTTCTAGTCGTTGCTTGTCTCACGTTTCTTGCCATTATTGGAGTTTCCACAGGTTGTCTATTAGAAGTAGCAGATCCTCTACTTCCGGCCGGCGATCTTACGGATCGAGGAGTCAGTTGTTGCAAAATTTGGCGAACGATCGGAGTAGAAGTGCTGCTACTAGTACTCAAACTGCCACTGGTTGAAGCCGACGACGACTCGCGTTTGGTGGGCGTGACCCGTTGGATTCGGGCTTTTTTGCTCGCACTGCTTGCAGTGGAGTTTGGTCCGTGTTGAGATTCAGAGGAGTCCATTTCGCTGGTTCTGAAAATTATTTGATTTTTTCAACGATGGTGAGATTCTGGTTTTTCAAAAGGAGATTTATTCTGAAGGTACAACAATTTCGGGGTACAGCGGGGTAACAATCAATTAAGGATCACAATCCTCGTTTAAAGGGTGCCAAATTCAATTTTTTTTTTGGAAAAAAAAATTTTCCAGGTATCTTGTACCCTCTGATTGAGGATTTTTGTATTTTTCTGAATATTCGCTGGATGAAAGTCGATGATACAGTATGAAGTTTTTGAGAAAGTGAGAAACTTACGAATTGAGAGTTTTCTTCAGGATATTGATGTATTGGGCTTGCTTCTCAACTGTTTTCCGCAATTCTTGAACTTCTCGACTTAGTTCCCGACAGTTTCGGCAAGAGGTATTGATGCTTTGAGTGGAAATGCAAAGATCTAAAATAAAATATACCGTAAAACCTCTAATAGAACGACACCCGGATCGTCCACTTGGAGCCTATATATCTCATTTCCTTTGAAAGGTATCAAAAAGTGGCTAACTAGTAAAATGTTTATCAGGATATCAGCAACATTTTACTAGTTAGCCACTTTTTGATATCTTTCACAGAAAATGAGATATATAGGCTCAAAGTGGACGATCCGGGTGTCGTTCTATTAGAGGTTTTACGGTATATTTTATTTTAGATCTTTGCATTTCCACTCAAAGCATCAATACTCTTGCCGAAACTGTCGGAACTAAGTCG